GGCTGGAAGTTGGAGAATAAGGGTATTCAGGTGCGTAGAACACGACTGTGCTATACGTTTTACGTGTTTCCTTACGGTGCTCGAGTGCCAGCACATCCACTCTCTCCTCCTCCTCCTCCTCCCCTTGTCAAAATTCTCCACCTCTGACTGTTCGCTTTCCGGCCTATCTGCACGGTGAAACAATGTGCCCAGACCCTTTCTACATGACTGTCTGCTCGCACAGCTTCCCCTGTCTCTAAACCCTACAGTATCCCCTATTTCCTGCCGCTTTTTCCGCATCATTTTCTATGACTATGCTACCACCTCTCCCCACCTCTTGTCAAGCCATGGCACACTTGTAGCTGTACTTACAGGCATATGACTTGACCCCTGTTCGCTCTCATGGGCTCTCTAGTGTACTGGCCCACTATCTAGCAGTAGCAATGAATATATTCACATTAAATCGTCATTTAATTCGATTATATAATGGTCAAGGGAGAGGTATCAGACCTACCACTGGGAAGTGAGAGACAAGGGATCAGGTGTCTAGCTAGGATACAGCACTGATACAAGGTACCAGCATGGATAGTTCAAGGGACTAGTCAAAGATAGGTAGAAGGTGACTGAAAAATGATGGGGAAAAAGCAGCAGGAAATAGGGGATACTGTAGGGTTTAGAGACAGGGGAAGCTGTGCGAGCAGACAGTCATGTAGAAAGGGTCTGGGCACATTGTTTCACCGTGCAGATAGGCCGGAAAGCGAACAGTCAGAGGTGGAGAATTTTGACAAGGGGAGGAGGAGGAGGAGGAGAGAGTGGATGTGCTGGCACTCGAGCACCGTAAGGAAACACGTAAAACGTATAGCATAGTCGTGTTCTACGCACCTGAATACCCTTATTCTCCGACTTCCAGCCAGATCCATCCAGTACTGCGTGATTGGTGGGGGGAAAGTGAAAGAGAGGAGGTGAAGAGGGCTGCACAGCCTATAGAGCAAGAACAGATACGATTCACGTCACGCGAAGTACATAAATCGATTCGCACAACCTGAAAGCAGGTATCAGCATGTTTTGATAGTGGTATAGCCGTGGGAACACAAGAGCCAGCATGCCTGCCCTGCTGCCTGCTGGTTCCACTTACCTCACCATAGCAAGAGAATAAATGCACCTATCATCAAGTGGATTGCACCGTTGCATTCGCACAGAAAAATGTTATGAGTCATCTCTGACTCGTTGATTTACCGAAGATTCAGAAATCCATGCCTGAGTGTTTGGCGCCTTTAGAAAAGTGATTCCCACACAACTCTCGTGTCGTGACTTCCGGTCTGATCGGTCCGAGCATGTGATCAGTCTAACTCGGTCCGGAGATCTGATCTTGATTGACCTGATCTGACCTGATCTAATCTAATCTGAGTATAATAAGGGTTGATTTAAATAGATGGCCTGGTAGAGACGGAAGTATTGTTCTGAGCATAGACATTATATATACCATTCTGAAGCAAATTCAAAGGTGAGTTTGATGGTATAGTCCATTTGACAATTGGTGTACTGGTTCCCACGGTATAGTCTAATCATTGTCTACGATGGCTGATAATACCTTGATATAGTACTCTCGACTGTTGTTTTGAGCCCAGTAGTAATATGACACATACCCCTACACTCCAATTATCCCAATGGACACAATGGAGTACTCTGTTTGGTGATCTGGTCTTTGTTTCTCACAAAATTATCTCATCATTAT